GGTGAGTTCAAGTCCTGCCACTCCCTAGGCAGCTCAAGTCCATCACCCCTCCCTCCCTCCCTAGAAGCAAGCAGCCAGCCAACACAGGATAAGGGACCCCCTGGAGGTAGGTGTGGAGGGTTTTTGAATGGCTTAGGGGATAGAACATTGCTCTGAGACAGAGGGGCAGCCCAGTGCTCCCTCAACAAGGCAGAGGTTCGTTTGGAGGCAGCTGTTATGGGGGCCAGAGGCAGTGGTGCTGACGGATTGTGTGCATGAGCCCAGGATCAGGTCCCATGTCACTCAGACAGGGCTCCCTGGGACTGGAGCACAGATGATGCCCTCCCTGATGGAGATTCAAACACGGCTGGTTTTGCCAGCCCTGCAGGGTGAGCAAAGGGATCTCCAGCACTAACAGGAATTTTACTGGGGCAGGTCTCCAGGCTGTGCTATGTCATGGCTGCAACAAATCAGACCTCAGACATCTTCACAAGGAAAACCCTGTCAGTTTGCATTTCAGCCTACCTGCACTTAGTCTTAACGACTTTACTTCAAAGAGACTTTAACACCAGATTACAGAGAGAAACTTCAGAACTTCCATTCATGCTTAAATTTGACTCTTTACGAATGGGCCATAACAAAGATGCTAATTATCTTACACATTATAAAGACAGCTTCCCCTGATTAGCCATTCATTGACTTATAAACAGCTATTCCCTCCCTCCCCCCACCTTCTCTTCTAAATCTGATTTGTCAGTTTAATAATGTGTTTACTTTTTTCTTGTATTCCTTTGGTATATATGGTCATGCCAATTCTCTTCCAGAATACGATCTAAGAAAGTGAACCTGGCCCATGAAATCTCATCACCTATTAAACCATCTTGCTAGTCTTTAAAGCGCAACCTAGTTTTTCCTTTTGTTTGGACAATCACAGTCATTCCTTCTGGCTTTGGGATTCACGCCTGAATGACCTTTGTGCTCTTTCTGGGGATGGGGTGAGTTACCCTCTCCCCAGGCTAGATCCATGGCATCTGTGGGAGGAGATGAGTGGAGCAGGGCTGCCCTGGGGGGAATCCCAGCCCCACAAGTGCTGAGTTCCCCACAGACCGAGCCAATATCCTTAAAATACCCCCTGCTCTGGCCAGGGCTTAGTTGCCCTGACTCTGGGGCCGGGCCCATTCCAAAGGGTCTGCTCCTGGCAAGGAGCAAAGCCACTAAGCAAAGGAGTCTGCACCCTCTCCACTCCATGAGGCCAAGACCTGGCCAGCTCTGGCCAATCCCCCACAGCCCCATCCCATCCCAGGGGAGAGGGTTATGGGTCCAACAGGCCAGCACTGCAGAGGTCGTGGTGTTTTGCTTCCATTCCTGGCAAGCTCAGCCGAGGAACATTTCTGCAGGAAGGGCGAGAGAAGAGCTGGTTGGGGGAGAGGAGAGGCAGTTAGTTAACAGACAGGTCAGTATCTCTGTCTCCCTGCTAGAAGTGGGCAAACAGGCTGAGAGCAGGGCTCAAGTCAGCAGCAGGGCTGGAAACAACACAGGAGTCCTGCCTCCCGATCCCCTGTTCAAACCCACTAGACACCACTCCCCTCCTAAAGCAGGGGTAGAGCCCAAGTCCTGAACCCCAGCCTCCACCGCTAACCACTCCACCAGGCTGCCTTTGGAAAGGCAATGCAGGCTGTCCTGCTGCTGGGAGCAGTGCAGAACTGGGAGCGCCAAGCTCAGGGAAGCAGCCCTGCTCTGTAATTCCGTTTCACCAAGCCAGTGACAACGGTGAGCTCCGGGATCGCTGTGTCAGACTTAGCACGGAGTCACTACCTTCCCCGAGGCTTCCCAGCCGGACAAACTGGACTTTGTGATCAAATGGTCACTTACACCAAAAACCACATCCCATGTAGGTTTCTCCCAGTCCCCAGAGCCCCATCACTGGCCCAGTTGGCAGGCCGGATCTTACCCCAGGACAACGCGGGTAGTAAACTAACCATTTATTAGCAGAGAAGAGGAAAGAAGAATTGTAGCGACGTTAAGGCAGGTAAACAATATGCACAGAGAGTCTCAGCCTGTCACTCTGAATGGCGGCTGTAGCGGAATCAAGTGCTATTTCTCAGAAGGCTTTTCAGGTTCCCAGGTGGTCTCTGAGGGTCTCCGCTTTGCATCTGGGCACTTCCCTGTCAGAGTCCAAGCAGGCCAGAGACAAGGGTCTTTCCTAGAAGCCAGATTTACAAGCTGGGGGGCCCCTACCCAGACAGGCGCTGCCTTGGAGGCCAGGGAGGAGGAACACACAGGGAGTCTCTGACCGCCAGTCACCAGTCACTCTGAAATTAGCACTCTGCTGTTGAAGTCCCTCATTTGCATGCCACAAGCTTCAATCTCCTTTCCTGGCTCGTTTGGGGGTCATTTAGTTACAGGGGATTAGACAAGGGAAATGTTTGCTACTCCCGTACAACCGGCCAGTGAGACGTGAAACCCAGGCAAGGGACCTCCCATGCAGTTTAAACCCCAGGCACTCTCCGGCACGTTTAACAGGCGCTTTGGGCTATGCTGATACACAAGGGACTAGGCTTGCGGCTCTGGCATGGGCTGGCACCTGCTCTGCCAGCGTCCTGCATGTGCACACAGGTAAGCCCAGCCCGCAGCCCTATGGCAACCTAAGCGCCTGCTCCGCACCCAGGCAAGGGACCTCCCATGCAGTTTAAACCCCAGGCACTCTCCGGCACGTTTAACAGGCGCTTTGGGCTATGCTGATACACAAGGGACTAGGCTTGCGGCTCTGGCATGGGCTGGCACCTGCTCTGCCAGCGTCCTGCATGTGCACACAGGTAAGCCCAGCCCGCAGCCCTATGGCAACCTAAGCGCCTGCTCCGCGGCCTG